TAGCACGTATAAGCCCTTGCATTTATTATTTTTAAAAGGAAAACCAAAATGATGCAAGCATTACATCAGTTTAGGATTTATCAATGGAATAATTAATAATGTACTAAGGAGCGGATGTGCATGTATTATTTAATCAAAATAAACTTTAACTTTTTCAAATTAAAAGAACATGTAAGAACATCTACACTATAACTGAATATGACGTGAGTTCAGCTAAACAAATTATAATCAAAACATATATTTAAATTGATATAACCAGTTTAATATTCATTTATTAAGGCCGACGTGGAAAACCTATATTGCTTGTAATTAATTTAGAAAGCTAGTTGCACATTAATCTTAATCAAGTTAATATTTAAGTTCACAATGTATACTCCTAAATCAGAGCTAAAACAAATCATGTTTTATTTATAAATGTTGCCGTATAGATTAATCAAATCAAAGTTTTAACTTTGCAAAAGTAAAATGCACGTGAGAGCATCTAACTCAAATTTTTGTATATAAGAAAGTGCTTAAACTAACCAAATAGAGTTTAAAACATATTTATATTGCTAGTAATCAAATTAACAATTACTCATAAATGATCGTTACTGTTCTATGTTTCTTTTAATTATTATAAAACCAATTACACTAACATTAATCAAATTAATATATAACTATATATGAAAAAAAACAAGTAACATGAAAAACATCGGTACTACCGCGTAGAGAGCTCGACGTTACTGAAACCAACGCCACCGAACGACTCGAATCGGACTTAAAACGAAGAAACGACGGAGATTAAACGACCGATGGCAAACTGTAAATACATCATATTGTACCTCTGGCCTCCTCCATCTGGACGTACGTGGCCATGGCAAAGAGGTTGCCTGCTGCTGTTGTGCATGGGGGATTTACTTGCTTGTGTATACACACGCATGGTCCTTGTTTGCTTCCAGGTGAACGACGAGGTTGCTTGCTTGCTGGACTTCAAGACTGCAAGCAGATGGACTGCAGGTGCATGGCCCGCCTTGGCAGCTTGACGGAGGCATGCAGAGGCGCATCAGATGGAACACAGATGATGATCGGGTCCGATAAGCACAGATGCACGGACAAAAGGTGGATATGGTTATCGCTGCTAGATTACATCTAAATGACGCAGGCATGACGTTGATAGTATTTATGGCCAATAAAATAATAGGGCAAGGAAGACTGGGCTGACCATTGAACACAGACGTCCTGTCATTTACTTGCAGCCGATGCAACGTCCGTCAGGTGGCTCGGCGAGCTCACGTTGGTGGTTCTCGGCAGCTTGACGGAGCCTGCACTGCATGCCCGACGATGGAGGAACGACTCTTCACGTAGGTGTGCCCGTCAGCTGGTGGATCAATGATGTTGATGACTTGTGTCTTGTAGACATCGGGCACCGGACACCAGATCGGCAGCAAGGGCTTTGGTTAGGCTTGGGCGTCCATCTTTGTAGAGAAGCTCAGGCGGTGATAGAACGCATAAGACATCGTGCAACCATTGTTGGAACTGGCCAGCGAACAACTCTGTTCCGTCGTGTCTGAGGTGAATATATGAACATTATGAACATGATGTCCAGCGGGAAAGATTTGCAGGGCATCTGCATGACGGCTTGCTGGCTAGTTGGAACACATACCTTAGGGCTCGGCAATGAGTAGCAGATTGCATGGCCACGGAGCAACGACAGGATGTAGCCACGAGTTGGAGAACGGCAGGGACGGCTGCGGACTTACTTGTTGCCGAGGAGAGTATGGCCGGGCTGGGCAGCGCGGCGGCGACAGCGACAGCGACGGCAGCGGCAACGGCGAGAGAAGGATGAGAAAAATATGATTTACTACACGAGAGATTTCCCAAACTAGGGGCTCCTCATACGGTAGTTTTGGTGTGCTTTGCCCAAGGGGTTGGTAGATATATATAGGAAGAAAAACTCCCCACATCTACATCAACTAGCAATATGGTACTAATTGATGTTGCATCCTCCACCTTTACTAATAGGCCTAATTAATTATTAAAGCCCATTAGTAAATAAAGACATGGGCCTTTGGGCATGAGGAAATCTGAGATATTTCATTATTTTCGGAATTAATTAATTTCATGGATAAAATAATTCTAGAAAAGCCCAGAATTGAATTTTAAGCCACGAAAAATACTCCGAAGGCTCCGAAAATCTAGGGAAAAATTCTCAAAGATAATTTAGAACAAGACGAACCCAAATAAAATATTTGGAGCTCATGAAAAGATATTTTAGAGCATTTAAAAATTATATTATGCTCACAAACAAGTGAGAACAAGTTCCAGAAAAAGCCAAAGAAATTCCCAAGGTATCCATGGAGATAGGTTGATGAATAGTGAGCAGGAAGGAGTGATTTGGATTTCATGGAAAAGATTTTAGGATACTTCTCAAGCAAATATTAAGTCGGAAAACAAAGAATTTGATCGGTGAGAAAGACTAAGAATTGCTGGAGAAAGAAGATCGACTTACTAAACGCATTTTTAAAATCTTTTCTCACAACATGAAATAAATCAACAACCAAGCATCACATCAAGCAATAGCTCGTCAAATTAATTTGGAAAAGCTTGAAAATTCACATTTTCCTATAACTAAGTTCACGCTAGTTCAAACTAAGATTGGTAAATTTTATCCAAATATCAAAACATTTATTTTAATTAGTGTTTTCTATGCACAACCCAAAATTAGAAATTTTGGGGTGTGACACTCATGGTTAAAGCTTGCACAGTGGTTAGGTGAGAATTTATTCAGCAATGAATGAACAAATGCTACAAGATCGACACTAATTGAAATCCCGGTATGTACAGATGCATGCACACACATAGAATGTACAAAATTAGAATGCTTATAGCTAAACATGGCAATTGCCACACAGTCCCTGTGTTCTTGATTACAATTTACTTTAGTATTGTCTAAACCCCATATTGTATCACTTTGACAAAGTTTTAAATCAACTTTGATGACAAAAAAGCACTGTCAAGACATCTATCATAAATAATTCACCGAAAGAAACTTGATGTTCAAAATTTTTTTATAGATTTTCTAGGAAGTTTGTCAAAGTTAGAGAAAACTAACTTTGGGAAAAGCCAGAGCGTGTAATGAGCCAGAGTGGATGGAGTATATGTTGAACTCTAGCTCTTGATTCAAATAGGTGTCCATCTAGCTTTTACAAATGTCAAAGTTAACTTGTTTCCATATAGAATGGAGAATGAAAAATTTTATGCAACTTTTGTTCCTTGCACTAGCTACAATATGAGTCTAACCTTTAATATAGAGACGAAGAGGACACCATGGCCAACCTCCTAGCTATCTAAAACATAAGTTAGGGCTCAAAGGCATAGATCCATTCATGAACAATGACAACATGATGACTAATGTAAACCTTACTCAGCAATCCTGCAAAAACTCAAGAAAAAAGAGACTAAGATGGGGCTCAGCATTGATTTTTCTATCGAAAAACTACAACATCCAAATTCGAAGTTCCATACAAGACACTCCTTCGTATTCTTTTATGCTAGAACAATGTGCCCTGGGTACACATATTTAATTCGTTAGAGTCTACGTAAAGAGATTTTGACTTTGCTTACACACGAGTCGAATCTAGTCCGAAAGATCGAGAACATTGGGCTAGTAAGCTTAATCGCTAGGACTGGGCACCCATTTTGGGATATGGAAATCAAATATGGCTAAAAATATTTAAAAAGAATAACTTCAGTTGACACCTGATCGAAATGAGTGGAACAACTCTTGATGATGGCTTCCTTTACTGTTCCTTTTTTTTATTTACGATGGAATTGCATGAGTCTGTATAATTTGTGTCATGGGTGCTCATATAGATGTGATAAGATATTCCTTCTGTTTTTATTTGACATGTGAGTGCAGGCTACGTTGGTTCTAGTGTTTTGAGCTACGCCTAGTAAACCATCATGTTAGTAATGAACTTCTTAATTTTTTACATTTAACATTTCAGAGCATGCCCTTTGTCACAAGCTTAACACAGAAGGAAATTGCAATCCATTGGACTAAGCTAGGAGTCAGAACGGCACACTCCATGTGGGTTCTCTCTACAAAATTGTAGGATGGCGGTGGCCGGTTGGTACTTCAATCTTAGGGCTTTGCTTTTGGATTTAGATAGCCCAAATCAAAATACTATTTTAGTGGGTGTGGTGCCCATTAGCAAGCATCCCATCTTTGGTAATGCTACCTAGCTGAAAAGTGAGCTAGTGTGTTGAGCTGCAAATTCCACACAAGTTTGGTGTCCCTCCGCAAAATTTTCATTAATTTATTCAAGGGATAATAATTTAAACTTCATATTGGTCATAAATTATTTTTGGCCAAGAAGTTTTGTACTTTGTTGCTACCAACATCAAAATTGTTACTGATAGGGTCCAGCTGATTTAATGACCTTGGTGTTGGTAAGTTCATGGGCTGCAAAGATACCTTACATGTCTACAGTTTTATGGTGGCATGCACAATTTGGGTTCTAGTTAAAAACATATGCACCCAATATTTACTAAAGACAATAATTAAGTGGTAAGACTTTGCGTGAACAACTTCAGAGGCACATATAGGTTTGCTCATGAACTTATATTGTGTTTTCCTTAGTATACGTGCACCAGATTTGAACGGCCACGGTCAAAGGATATGTGCCCATCACTTTCTCAAAAGAACATATCACAAATGCAAGTACTCAGCTGCAAGCGCGTACAGTCGCATCTATCATATAAACACACACGCACACACCCGAACGAGAACATTCAAGAGGTCGGGCTGGCACATCTTTGGATTGATGAAGTAATGTCGTATTGTCTACGTATTAACCAAGCATGTGTCTTTAATTATGATTTGATGGTTTCAATTGTGTATATGAAGAACACGGTTAAGAAATAGACTCAGATAAATCTCAAACAATATATTGATTATTTCTGGAAAGTTGCACACGCCGGTATGAGAGCTTTGTTATCAAGTACAACTCATATGTAATCTAGAAGATGGCACCTCCAACTATGGGTTGCTGCCACGACAAGGCAGCGTTCGTCAAAGATATCTGGTTGAATGGCGACAATTGTTGCTGCTGCAGGAAGGCGGCAGCCAATGGGTTAGCAACTGCCAGTGGGTTAACTGGAAGCAGCTGATGTTGTTGCAGGTATGCAGCGGTGTTCGCCGCAGCCAGCTGGTTGAATGGAAGAAGCTGTTGCTGTTGCAAGTAGGCGGCAGGGTTCACCCCGGCCGGTTGACTGAGCGCTAGTAGGATTTGTTGCGGCTGCTGTTGTTGCAGGTATGCAGCGGCATTGGCCGCAGCTAGTGGGTTGGATGCAAGCAGCTGTTGTTGTTGCAGGTAGGCGGCAGGGTTTGCCACGGCGAGTTGATTGACCGCTGACAGGACCTGTTGCAGTTGTTGTTGTTTCTGGTATGCAGCGGCGTTCGCCGGAGCCAGTGGGTTGGATGCAAGCAGCTGTTGTTGCCAGTAGGCGGCAGGGTTCGCCACGGCTAGTTGATCGAGTGCTGGCAGGAACTGTTGCTGCTGCTGCGCTGCCATGGTCTGTACGGTTAGATGGGCTAAGGATTGCTGTTGCAATTGGGCAATTGGTTGTTGTAAGATGCTCGCTGCAAGCGCCTGCTGTAGCCTGTAGGCCTGCACAGCTGATTGTTCGAACCCCATAGGAGTAATTGGTGGGAGGAATTGTGGATTAATAGCATTAGGAGCAAGTGAGCACTGTGGAATAATGACCGCAGTTGTAGCGCTCACTGAAAGAGCAAGGAGCGCAAGGAGGGCAAATATCTTGGTAGCCATTGTTGCGTGGACGTTGCTAGTTTGTTTCACTTGGTATGTTTCTGATTGCTCTCAATGTTATGGGTGATGGATTAACTACTGATTTGGGGCCTATTTATACAAGTGAGAGCTCATGTATATCTATTTAGATTTTGGCTTTTCGCCAAACAACAGATAAGCTATAGATGACATGGCACCTAGTCGATTTTGACATTTAATTATCAATTTCATTGGATTATATGGTCTGTGTAGGAAAGACAATTTCCACTACGTACAAGGAAAATGTGTCTTTTTCTATTGGAATATTTTTTATACATGAGGAATGACATGCATGATCACTTCACCTTTACACATGTTACAGCCTTAGCCACATCATAAATGTTTCACTTTATAAACAAGACGAGTATGTAAAGTTAGGACTTGCTCACGCGTATCATAGCCTTCATCAACGGACTTTATTGTAGTGTTGTACTCATGGTTAAAGCTTGCACAGTGGTTAGGTGAGAATTTATTCAGCAATGAATGAACAAATGCTACAAGATCGACACTAATTGAAATCCCGGTATGTACAGATGCATGCACACACATAGAATGTACAAAATTAGAATGCTTATAGCTAAACATGGCAATTGCCACACAGTCCCTGTGTTCTTGATTACAATTTACTTTAGTATTGTCTAAACCCCATATTGTATCACTTTGACAAAGTTTTAAATCAACTTTGATGACAAAAAAAACCTTTGTCAAGACATCTATCATAAATAATTCACCGAAAGAAACTTGATGTTCAAAATTTTTTTATAGATTTTCTAGGAAGTTTGTCAAAGTTAGAGAAAACTAACTTTGGGAAAAGCCAGAGCGTGTAATGAGCCAGAGTGGATGGAGTATATGTTGAACTCTAGCTCTTGATTCAAATAGGTGTCCATCTAGCTTTTACAAATGTCAAAGTTAACTTGTTTCCATATAGAATGGAGAATGAAAATTTTATGCAACTTTTGTTCCTTGCACTAGCTACAATATGAGTCTAACCTTTAATATAGAGACGAAGAGGACACCATGGCCAACCTCCTAGCTATCTAAAACATAAGTTAGGGCTCAAAGGCATAGATCCATTCATGAACAATGACAACATGATGACTAATGTAAACCTTACTCAAAGCAATCCTGCAAAAACTCAAGAAAAAAAAGAGACTAAGATGGGGCTCGGCATTGATTTTTCTATCGAAAAACTACAACATCCAAATTCGAAGTTCCATACAAGACACTCCTTCGTATTCTTTTTATGCTAGAACAATGTGCCCCTGGTACACATATTTAATTCGTTAGAGTCTCACGTAAAGAGATTTTGACTTTGCTTACACACGAGTCGAATCTAGTCCGAAAGATCGAGAACATTGGGCTAGTAAAGCTTAATCGCTAGGACTGGGCACCCATTTTGGGATATGGAAATCAAATATGGCTAAAAATATTTAAAAGAATAACTTCAGTTGACACCGATCGAAATGAGTGGAACAACTCTTGATGATGGCTTCCTTTTACTGTTCCTTTTTTTATTTACGATGGAATTGCATGAGTCTCAGTATAATTTGTGTCATGGGTGCTCATATAGATGTGATAAGATATTCCTTCTGTTTTTTTATTTGACATGTGAGTGCAGGCTACGTTGGTTCTAGTGTTTTGAGCTACGCCTAGTAAACCATCATGTTAGTAATGAACTTCTTAATTTTTTACATTTAACATTTCAGAGCATGCCCTTTGTCACAAGCTTAACACGGTAAGGAAATTGCAATCCATTGGACTAAGCTAGAGTCGAACGGCACACTCCATGTGGGTTCTCTCTACAAAATTGTAGGATGGCGGTGGGCGGTTGGTACTTCAATCGCGGGCCTTTACTTTAGGATTTAGATAGCCCAAATCAAAATACTATTTTAGTGGGTGTGGTGCCCATTAGCAAGCATCCCATCTTTTGGTAATGCTACCTAGCTGAAAAGTGAGCTAGTGTGTTGAGCTGCAAATTCCACACAAGTTTGGTGTCCCTCCCAAAATTTTCATTAATTTATTCAAGGGATAATAATTTAAACTTCATATTGGTCATAAATTATTTTTGGCCAAGAAGTTTTGTACTTTGTTGCTACCAACATCAAAATTGTTCTTGATAGGGTCCAGCTGATTTAATGACCTTGGTGTTGGTAAGTTCATGGGCTGCAAAGATACCTTACATGTCTACTGTTTTATGGTGGCATGCACAATTTGGGTTCTAGTTAAAAACATATGCACCCAATATTTACTAAAGACAATAATTAAGTGGTAAGACTTTGCGTGAACAACTTCAGAGGCACATATAGGTTTGCTCATGAACTTATATTGTGTTTTCCTTAGTATACGTGCACCAGATTTGAACGGCCACGGTCAAAGGATATGTGCCCATCACTTTCTCAAAAGAACATATCACAAATGCAAGTACTCAGCTGCAAGCGCCAGACAGTCGCATCTATCATATAAACACACACGCACACACCCGAACGAGAACATTCAAGAGGTCGGGCTGGCACATCTTTGGATTGATGAAGTAATGTCGTATTGTTCACGATTAACCAAGCATGTGTCTTTAATTATGATTTGATGGTTTCAATTGTGTATATGAAGAACACGGTTAAGAAATAGACTCGATAAATCTCAAACAATATATTGATTATTTCGGAAAGTTGCACACGCCGGTATGAGAGCTTTGTTATCAAGTACAACTCATATGTAATCTAGAAGATGGCACCTCCAACTATGGGTTGCTGCCACGACAAGGCAGCGTTCGTCAAAGATATCTGGTTGAATGGCGACAATTGTTGCTGCTGCAGGAAGGCGGCAGCCAATGGGTTAGCAAATCGCCGATGGGTTAACTCGGAAGCAAGCTGATGTTGTTGCGGTATGCAGCGGTGTTCGCCGCAGCCAGCTGGTTGAATGGAAGAAGCTATTCTTTGTTGCAAGTAGGCGGCAGTGGTTCACCCCGCCGGTTGATCGAAAGCGCTAGTAGGATTTGTTGCGGCTCTTTGTTGTTGCGGTATGCAGCGGCATTGGCCGCAGCTTAGTGGGGTTGGATGCAAGCAAATGTTGTTGTTGCGGTGTAGGCGGCGTGGTTTGCCACGGCGAGTTGATTGACCGCCGGCAGGACTGCTGCGATTGTTGTTGTTTCGGTATGCAGCGGCGTTCGCGCGGAGCGATGGGTTGGATGCAAGCATTTGTTGTTGCCGATGGCGGCGTGGTTCGCCACGGCTAGTTGATCGAAAGGCGGCAGAACTGCTGTTCTTCTTTGCTGCATACCGCCATGGTCTGTGATGGTTAGATGGGCTAAGGATTCTTTGTTGCAATTGGGCAATTGGTTGTTGTAAGATGCTCATTGCAAGCTCTGCTGTAGCTCTGTAGGCTCGCATACCTGATTGTTCGAACCCCATAGGAGTAATTGGTGGGAGGAATTGTGGATTAATAGCATTAGGAGCAAGTGAGCACTTTGTGGAATAATGATCATGATTTAGAAGCGCCACCGAAAAGAGCAAGGAGCGCAAGGAGGGCAAATATCTTGGTAGCCATTGTTGCGTGGACGTTGCTAGTTTGTTTCACTTGGTATGTTTCGATTGCTCTCAATGTTATGGGTGATGGATTAACTCTTGATTTGGGGCCTATTTATACAAGTGAGAGCTCATGTATATCTATTTAGATTTTGGCTTTTCGCCAAACAATGAGATAAGCTATAGATGACATGGCACCTAGTCGATTTTGACATTTAATTATCAATTTCATTGGATTATATGGTGCTGTGTAGGAAAGACAATTTCCACTATTACAAGGAAAATGTGTCTTTTTCTATTGGAATATTTTTTTATACATGAGGAATGACATGCATGATCACTTCACCTTTACACATGTTACAGCCTTAGCCACATCATAAATGTTTCACTTTATAAACAAGACTTAGTATGTAAAGTTAGGACTTGCTCACGCGTATCATAGCCTTCATCAACGGACTTTATTGTAGTGTTGTACTCATGGTTAAAGCTTGCACAGTGGTTAGGTGAGAATTTATTCAGCAATGAATGAACAAATGCTACAAGATCGACACTAATTGAAATCCCGGTATGTACAGATGCATGCACACACATAGAATGTACAAAATTAGAATGCTTATAGCTAAACATGGCAATTGCCACACAGTCCCTGTGTTCTTGATTACAATTTACTTTAGTATTGTCTAAACCCCATATTGTATCACTTTGACAAAGTTTTAAATCAACTTTGATGACAAAAAAGCACTGTCAAGACATCTATCATAAATAATTCACCGAAAGAAACTTGATGTTCAAAATTTTTTTATAGATTTTCTAGGAAGTTTGTCAAAGTTAGAGAAAACTAACTTTGGGAAAAGCCAGAGCGTGTAATGAGCCAGAGTGGATGGAGTATATGTTGAACTCTAGCTCTTGATTCAAATAGGTGTCCATCTAGCTTTTACAAATGTCAAAGTTAACTTGTTTCCATATAGAATGGAGAATGAAAAATTTTATGCAACTTTTGTTCCTTGCACTAGCTACAATATGAGTCTAACCTTTAATATAGAGACGAAGAGGACACCATGGCCAACCTCCTAGCTATCTAAAACATAAGTTAGGGCTCAAAGGCATAGATCCATTCATGAACAATGACAACATGATGACTAATGTAAACCTTACTCAGCAATCCTGCAAAAACTCAAGAAAAAAGAGACTAAGATGGGGCTCAGCATTGATTTTTCTATCGAAAAACTACAACATCCAAATTCGAAGTTCCATACAAGACACTCCTTCGTATTCTTTTATGCTAGAACAATGTGCCCTGGGTACACATATTTAATTCGTTAGAGTCTACGTAAAGAGATTTTGACTTTGCTTACACACGAGTCGAATCTAGTCCGAAAGATCGAGAACATTGGGCTAGTAAGCTTAATCGCTAGGACTGGGCACCCATTTTGGGATATGGAAATCAAATATGGCTAAAAA